ATGCTTTATACTAATCGCAGAATTCAAGAGAACCAATAATACTTTGCAGCTGTGTAGAGTTTCCATGTGAAGATCTCAAAGCACTTCAGAAGCATTAACTAACCAGGCATAAACCCCTCGCATTGGTAGTGTTTTACTTTGTGTACATGCTGGGAAACTAAGGCAAGCACATTCAAGAACCCACAGTAATTTAGTGTTACAGCTAAGAATTCTCCTTCAGCAAGCTTTGGATCACGCCTATAAATTTTTGGCTTATTTATGACTCCAGTATTTTGTCTTTTATTCACTTGATAGAATATGTGGTTTTATCATGTTTTCTTTTGCTGAGTGTCAAAGAGATTAGTTTAAATTATACTAGTAAGTCTAGAAGTCTTTTTTTTGTTATTCCTGCTTATTTTTTTCCCTTACCAGCAGTTATTACTCTGCCTCTATCTCATGACAACTTGCCACAAGGATAGTTCCAAATTTAACATTCAAAAGCCTCCTGTGTTTTTTGACACGTAGCTACATTTGTATGTGGACTGAACATGTAGTAAGAGGTAACAGAAGTGTTTTAAGGTGGTAAACCGGAGATGGATATAGGAACTATAGTTAGATTGTATATCTATACTCACAGGATGCTAGCTTTTTAATCTTTTTTTTGCAATGCTTAAAGAAATCTAGGTAGATAAAATGCAAAATGATGTTTATGATTTTTATTAAATGCATTTCATTGTAAGATATACAATAATCTTTTGATTACTTTGTGTACCAGAAATCAGGTAGTATTGTGATTAGTTTTAAAAGGTAGGGTTTTGCCACAAGCAGAATTCTTTCTAAATGTAATTTTAGACCACAAGATGAACTCTACTTTCTTTTTCAGCAGATTTATAGGTATTTTTTCATTTTCTCACTCCTGGTTAGATTGACCTATGACCAGAATTTCTCAAAAGTTCTCTTTGATGCCTTAGTTCTTTTCAGTCTGACCATTTTATCTCAATTTGTGCTTAAATCCATACAAAAATAAAGGGTAAAACAATAAGCACACACGGAAAAATTAGAATATTGCTACAAACAAATTGTTTTTCAGCTTACAATTATAATCACAAAGGCAAGAATATATAACCAGAGGACTGCCACAAATAATAACTATTTTTTCTGAACTTTTGATAAAACTGTTATATTTTACTTTTAAAAAGTCCTCAAACACTATCGACTTCCCACCAACACTCAAAATTTTAAAGGCTGCTGGTAAGGGAGTCAATGGATCAAATTCAGTATATCTGAAGCCACTGAAATAAAGGCCCCTAAGAAAAATGTGTCAATTTTAAAGGTCTTTCCTAACTGAAGACCATTTTGTGATAGAGCCAAAGGTTAATAAAATCAGTAGTGAATGTAGCAATTTTACAGATAAGCTATTCACAACAAGTGTAGTTACTTGAATAAAAAGCTAATTCAGTTCTAAAATGCCACATGCAGTAGCAGTGAATAGCTGCTTTTAGGTGCTTTCTGGAGGAGGATAAAATACAGAATCACAGCACTCTTCTTTTCCAGCATCCCTGGCTGCCTGTAAATTGCTGTGAATGGGACTGTAGGCTGACAGGCTCTATTAAGACAAACTGCCTTTCTCATCGGAGAGATAAAATAAATCAGGTGTTTAGTCAAATTAAAATACTTCAGATGGAGCAGGCCCTGGGGAGCACTGATCCACCTGACAAATCTGAGAGAAACTCAAGACAGATGTGTTTTGGGGATAAGGAAGACCCCATGGAAAAAAAAAATGCGCTGCTGTCTTTGGAGTAAGAGAATAGGATTAGAACAGAGAGAGTGCTGTGATATATAATATTTTATGGAAGCTGGCATATTTAGTGTATATTTTTTACTAAGCTTTTTGTTTTATTTGTTTTTATGGCAAATACATTTTACAGATAGCTGTATTTTTATTTTATTTATAGATATTTTAGTCAGCAGAAGAAGTTTATTTACTGGTAATGAGTTTAGGAATCTCATTGCTTGCTTCAGTAAGTGGATGCAAAACAGATGATGATGGCACACAGCTACTGATGACCTCTCTTGGCCCAGCCAGATCAGCTCAATCTGGTCTGCATTCTGAGCAAGTTGCTTTTTATTGGTATTTAAACTGTAAAATAATGGTTGGGATTTTCCACTCTAAAATTAAATTATATCTCCCC